GAAATGCAGTGGTATGTCAGTATATTTTGGATAACACGTGTATTGCACTGCTGTGAACAAAGGTGCATTTGGCTTGTAATGTATGAGAAAGGCTAATGAGAAGAAATTTGATTAGTAATTATCCACAGGCAATCAGATCATCATCTAACGACTGTTGTAAAGTCTCTGCTGATGTCCTTTCTGGAGAAGCAGGAGAATGGGAAAACACTGGCAAAGTTTAATATATCTGACAATAACATACACTGAGTAGCTTTTTTTTTTTTGTTCCCCCTGGGCAGAACCAGCAGAAATAGTTTTGTTTTTATCCTTTCCTTTAGACAGATGGGAAATTTCATCTCTATTCTCTTCCCCAAAAACTCTCAGAGACCTACCTCTTTACTGATTGTAATACTAGAAGCATATGGATGATCTTAGTTCTTTCTTCACATAAGTATTACTAAAGATAGATAGATAATGAAGAGTTCAAAGAAGAAAGGTTTATCCAAGTTGGTGTAGTGAAGTTGCACTGTCCTTGTGAAATACAGTTTGACCACAGTACTCCAAGTCTCTAGAACAGCAGATGTGGATGCAATCATGTAATATTCTTTCATGAGTTACACTGTCACTTGGTCTATCTACTGCTCTGTGTAGCAGAGGAAAACATACTTCTACTCAGTGCATTTAGCCTTTTTAGGGGGAGGTGGGATGTCAAAAATGATACAGAAAATTTATTTTTTAGATATATGCGCTGTCACTGCTATCACTGATCATTCCATAACAGGCAAGTTTTGAACAATGAGGTTGCAGTTAATATAACTTGTCAGCTATTCTGGAAGCTGTAGGTCCAGCTGCTGGATTTAATCAAGTATTTCTCACTGGTTTGGTAATAATCTTATTTCTGAAAGGTAAGCCTAGAATACTAACCAGTAATATAGAATAATATTGTCTAAAATCTCAGAAGGGATATTAAAAAAACCAGCCGTCTTTTTTATAAGCTCATGAAGCTGGAGCTTATTTTCTAGGATAGAAGAAGGTGATGCAGTCACACTATCGCCTGCTCAAGTCAGAGCATCCAGATGCATGTGTCTGTTCACACGTTCAATAAGACATTTAGTTTTTTATCATCTTGCACTAACGAAAGACTGTCCTCTGCAACTGTGAGTTGCCAAATATGTCCTGCACTATACTGGTTACACAGTCTTTCCCATAGATTTGTAAGGAAAGTTTGCTTGAGCCATCTGGAATTCAGGACAACATTTGGGAAAAGTCCAACAGAATCAGATTGCTTATGGAGATACCTGCCACTATCCACAGGAGAATCTGTTTCATAACCTGGATAAGGGAGGCTGAGATAGTGCTCTGGGAGATGGTTAAAGGTGATGGATATCTTCTATACAAAGGACAATTGAGTAGCCTAGGACTTTTCAGCCTGGAAAAGAAAGAACTTGGAAGGGATATGACATAAGTCTAAAACTGTGAGTGGCACAGAGAGTGTCAAGTAGGGATCACCTGTTCACTGTCTTCTAGTGCAAGAAAAAGAGGCCATCAATGAAGCTAGTGGGAGACAGGTTCAAAACCAAAAAAGATGAGGCTGGTTCTTCCTGCAACAAGTAGTAGGTGTGCAGAACCAACTACCAAACGATGTTTGGCTGATGTTTGGGCTCAAGGAGACGTTGACCTAGTACTTGCATGATAGATCCACGGAGGATACCAAACTGACAAATCACAAAAAGTTCAGGAAATCCCCGACCTGTTAATAGTTTGGAAGATGGGAGAGCATTATGGAGAAGTATCGTGTTTGCCCTGTTCTTATTCTTTTTTGCATGTCTGCACACGGCCACTGTTTGAAACAGAATACTGGACTAAACGGATCCTTGGCCTGAACCTGTAACAGTTATTCTTCTGTTATTTTCTTACAGAACCACTAGTCTGAGAACCCTCTCAAAAATTTCCTGTCCTTAGCAGAAGAGAGTATCAATTCCAGAGAAAGATAAGAATCTAATGTTTGATCTAGTGAAAAAAATTCACCAGAACCACTTTTTAAATCTCTCAAACAAAAAGGCAAAACAGAGAAGCTGTGTTTTCACACAAAATCAGTAAAAGTCCAAAGGTAAGCTAATGTTTTCCTAGAGGGCTTTGTGTAACATAGTAAACTGGCTTAGCGTTTGCATTTTTTCATTCTATTCGGAATCTTAAAGAGTGGACGGAGAAGACGTTTTCCTTGTATCTTCCTGACATGTATGGTGTAAGCTTCCACGCAAAACTCATCTTCATCAGAATAAGGGAACTGAACTAGTACAATCACAGTAACAGCAGGAGCTGCAGAAATCAATGGATTCACACTTAATTTTCAAGGGCAAACTGCCAGTCCCTGCACCTGCACAGCATGAGAAACTGTCTGACGGCCTTGACTCTCAGCATCACCCTTTGAATCACACGTATGCTTCAAACTTGAAAAACGGAGGGATACTTCTGTGCTTCATGATGCAAATCTTTAGTATTATTCTCTGCAAGTATTTTTACCAAAAGTCTAACATGCTTTTCAGTCAGAGGTAGCGCTAGTTGATTCTGACATTTCAGAACTTCGGCTAACATGGTCAAAACTGCTACTGAAGGTTTGCTCAGCTTTTCTGATGTGTTAGAACATGAAGTATAAGCGCTGACCTCCCAGCAAGTGCAGATCCCTTTAAGATGCCAACACTTACTTTAATAGCATTCGGAGAACAGTCTGGCATTCCTTTCCAGATACTGGGGATGCTAGAAAAAGAAAGTAAATGGCTTTCTTCAAGACATCTCTAAAACTGCATAGTTAGTATTTGTGGTAGCAGAGGGCTAAAATAACCTAAAAATGTGGAACTACAGATAAATACATAATAGAAAATAAGCTGAGAAGTGTTATGCAGATACACCTAAAAGGATCTGCGCTGAGCAAACTTTAAGAATGGGACAGCGATAGCAACTCCGAACCATCTCCTGCAGAGCAACTTGATGTCCAAGCTCTCTTCAAATTTACTAGCTTGAGCTAAGGAACTTTACTTTGCTTAAACTTTATTAGTTTACTAACTTTACATTTGGTTCACATGCAGTCAGTTACAGTTCAGCAATGTCCCTTGATTTTCTCCTGCCTCATGGAACCCAGCACACAACACAGTAAGATGCAGAAAAACCTGAGTAGCTCAATTTATAGTGAGCTCAAGTACAGTACGTTGGTGCCAATAACCCCTTCTAGATGTGACTCAATTCCATATGGAGATAGTCTGGCATCTCCGCACATGGCACCATGTTCCCAAGCTAACAGGGTGCTCAGCTTCAAGGCTGGATTCCACACTACATCTATGGTTTGAGCTACAAATTACAGCATGCCCTGCTTATCCTTCTCAATGCATTAGAACTGGCCTGGCAACAAGCAGCAATAGGTTTTAAAATACAGTAGATGAACTGCATTTGTGCTTTCAAAATCAGTAAGTGATCTCTACATTCTCCAGGAAATCTTTCACTATAAACACTATGACTTAAATGATTGATGAAATCCAGATGTGTGTGAATGAAAAAGAATTCTTATCTCTCAACATTTACGCATCAGTAGCATCAGCAAAGGAAACCCCATTCCTAAAAAATTACACCTCTCCTGCCAGCTTTTCATTTATGTTGCTGGACTTAAAGCAGAAACAAATGGAAGCCATTTGGGGCTTTTCCCGAAATAGATACAAGAATTGGAACAGAATTATCAGTGGTTGCTAAATAAAGGAAAAACTGTGGTGTAGGAACTCTGGAAATGCGTTATCTTCACTCCAGACACTCAAAAGATTACTGCTCTAAAAAAATACATCTGGCCTAAATCTGGCTCAGAAACGCAATGGACTCTAGCTTTCTTATATAAACGCCTGCAAGAGCACAAATATAATGGGTCAGGTCACGGAAAACATAAATAAGAGGTATTAAGAGGTATTTACTTGCTGCAGACAGTTATCTCAAAAATTTCTGTGCTTGATCTTAGTCCCCTGCCTTCTTAGAGAGGGAGTTTACGTCTTGTATATTTGTCAGATGTTCAAAAAAAAAGAGTTGAACCAAAAAATAGGCATGCAATGCAAAAAACACACATGTACTTGTATATATCACTATCATTCATGCATTCAACCTACAGATGTATATAAAATAGTCTTTACGGAAAATCTTATCATTAGCAAATGCATGCATATACATATAGACCTGTTTACACACCCAACAGACATCGAAATACTAGCCTTTTAGAAACTAATATTAGAATGCTTCAGAAGGCTGGTTGACTATAAGAGGAAAACGCATTTAACAAAGACAAGAAATTCAAGGACACTGGCTACGCAGCAACTAATTTGTCTTCATTTATTTTTCTAAGATACTCAGGTACTATTTGTAGGACATTTGTAGCCTACATTATCTTATAATTAGTTGTGGATGATAAATACGGAAGAACGCTTGCCATCTTACGCCTTTAACACGCAATACAGATAAAATGGCAGTTTTTCTTTTCTTTTTGCAGAGGGAAGGGGAAAGAATTACTATGTTTGCGGCAGTGTCCCTTTAAGTAATCTTTTTTTTGGCTGTGCATCCAGGGCAGCCAATAGTTTTATCAAATACCCTTCACAGCAAGACGACTGTTTCCATGGAAACTGCAGAGCAATCATCCATTACTCCTGCAAAGATTTCTCTAAGCTCTCTCCTAAATACAGGTAGCTACTTTCTCTCAAATTAAAATAGAACAGAAGAATGAATTTTACAGTCCATGTGATAACTGACTTCCAGAGCTTCACATGGGCGCTAAGAGAAAAACGGGACCTGAAAAACCCCAAAAATCTCACACAAGGAAACCATAAGGAAGTCTTAAGCCAGGGACAAACTCTGCAAGTCTGCAATTTAAAATACAGCTTATAGAGAGGACGGGAAATTCTTTCCTTACAGTTGAGCAATGGAGAGGACCAGAGAAGACAAGAGGGAGAACTAGAGATTAAGACTGGAGATGAAGCCAGAACTTGATCACTTACCTCTCTCAGCATGTTGTTTTCCTTTTCCTTCTGTTCCAGAAGGCTCTCTAAGTGGTGGACATGCATCTCTGCCTCAGCCAACCGTCTTGTCCTCTCGTGATCTTCTTCAGAGGCTTTCGCCGACAGACCTTTACTCTGCAGCATCTCCAGCAGCTTTTTGATGGATTCATCACGTGCGTTTAAGGTCTGTTTCTGTGTCTCAATACGCAATTCCATCTCTTCTAAGGTTTTACGTAGCAGAAAAAGTTCCTTGGCCTGGCGTTCATGCTCTGCATGAAGCCTTTGGAAGTTTTCTTCTGTGAGCTCTGCCACAAAGGGCTCGCTGGTTCTAGTGCTGCTATCTTGCTGGAACAGCTGGTTCAGGTCCCGCTGGATCCGAAGCTCATCTTGGAGAGCCTGGATAGTCATTTGCATGTGCTAAAAGAATAAACAAATAAAATTAGATGATTCCCTGCACTGGATAAAAAGGGCCACTTCAGCCCTCCTGGACTACCAACAAAAAGAAACCCACAACATGAGCTAACGTTCTTTTCTGAAAGCACAAAATTTCTTCATGGTCTTTTTAGAGGAGGAACTGGGTTATTCAATAAAAAATTTCAAGTCTCTCCTTTTGCGCTTGGCAGTGTTCGTTTAACGTTAGAAAGCTCTTACTCAAGTTACTCTCCCACTTCCATCAGCCTGAGTGAGTCACTATTTAAAATAGCAAAATGTTGGTAGGCAAAATTTGAGTGCTTCAAATATAATAGTATATCCTGTAAAAGAATGCTCTATGAGAAGTCCTAGACTAGAACTACTACCTTGATAAAGCAGAGGGACCCATGACTATTAGAATTTATGTATAATCTAATAAAATGGAATCAGTCACGATTCCATTGAGGGCTCCAAGGGTCTTCAGTACTAACATTACTCACAGTACAGATCTCCCAGTTGATCTACAGAAGAGATTTTAGTATGTTAAGAAATACAACTATAGAAAACTGGATATACACTGACTGGAGAGATTGGTCACATCATACAGCATGACGAACTTAGTGAAAAACAGAGACTACTGCCCTACAAAGAGGAACATGCAGTCAATCAAACAATCACCAGAAATCTGTGCTTGTGGAAGACAATAAATCCTGTCTAAATGACTGTGAGTATAGCAGAATAATACAGGAGAAGGATAGTTTTTCTGGGAAAAAAGGTCCTCACTTTATGTTTGGATAAACATTATTTTCTTCTCTGTAAGACAGAAGGAGGAAGACAGTAAGATATAAGTACTATGAACAAAGATCTGACTACCAGGGATGAGATATCCACTAAGCTACGTGCCTCTACACCCTTTGCGGTCAGCTCCTGCCACCAAAAGAAAGATTTCAGCTCTCTTGCCCTTCCTTAGGTGGCCAGCGTTGTCAGCTGGCTCAGCTGTCAGCTTCACCTGGCTGAAAACCAGGTGAAAACAAAGAAAAAGTATTTGTGGTCAGATCAGATCTCTGACCCAGCTGATTGGGTGACTTCACCAACACTAATACTGGCACAAAGAAGGGCTTAGAATATGCAGCTAAGGGGCTGGTGGAGAAAGGAGGGGAACCATCCTTTTTGGTATCAACATAAACTGAGATCGGCTTAAAGGGACAGCTTCATGATTGATTCACAGTGTTCTAATTCTTTCTCTTCTATTTTAATAACAAAATATTTGTCAATTACTGATTCTGTTAATCTAAAATAATAATTTAGATTATAGAACTATGTGATAACTTAGCACAAGTGTGTTAGATGATGGGATAATTACTTTCTTCTTAAAGGTACATTGCATTCATATGGTGGTGGGTGCTCACAGATTTATTTTTTAAGTTGGCATTAACAATACAAGAAAAGAAGGATCTCAAGGGAATTCATCCGAACCTGGAAAAAGTTTTTAGTCATTACTCTTTTTTTGGAAAAAAAAATCATTTCCATTTATTGTCATTTTTCCACACTACAGTCAAGGTAAGAACATCAGAGAACGTCCATGCTGTAAAACTGAGGCACTACTGCAAACATGCCAGGGTGCAGCAACATAGTCAAAGCTACTATGATCTGTTCAATTCATGTATGTTGACTAAGCTGGAAGAGAAAACTTACTGCACTAATGAAAAAGTTTGCCTTACCTGTACCTACACAATACCAAGAAAGTCAGCAATACTACAACAAGCGTAGTAAGAGAATTTCCTAAAACAACTTAAAAATAAATAATCTCACTACAGATAACTTAGCGATTCCACACAGGAGTTAATTCCATTTGTATTTGAGAAACCCTACTTATCCAGCCCAGCTGTGTGTTCTTCCAGCACCGCGTTCCCACATGCTTCCACCTGCCTCTCCACATGCTGCCACTTCAGCACTTCCTTTCTCCCAGACGAGAAAAGAGCTTCTTCTCAACAACCACATCATCTATGAAATGAAATGACTTCCTGTACTCAGTGTCATCTCAAAAATCAAACTTTGGTTATTTATAAACATAAATGGAACAAATCGCCACAACTGAATTCCTGCGTTAGAATTGTCACCATTTGATCTGATGTGAAATCTCAGCTCAGGTTTCTCAGGAAAACACTAATTGTCATAGTCCCATAGAAATTATTTTCCCCCAAATTACCCACACAGAAAGCCCCCCCACAACCTTTGGTCCAAAGACCCAAAAATCTATTATAAGTCAGAAAGCACAATGTGAAAGAAAATTCTTTACCAGTGACAAACAGCATTTATGGGAATCGGTCAGACTGTTAAGCCAGGACAAAAGAGTTACATAATATTCAACAGAAATGGTCAGCAACTGCCTTGAATTCAGTTTCCCAAGAAAAATGAAGAGGTGGGGGGGAGAGGAATGGTTGGCACTGTGCTTATGAATTACTATCACTGTGTTCTCTGAACTGCTCAGCTGAAAAGAAACAAATTTCATCGTGTGTAAGGTAGCGGGAAAATAAGCCACAGAAAATTATTGTATGTTTTTGACACCCACTCCTTTCCAACATCCAGGAGATCTGCAAAGTGGTTTTTCTCTGCTTTCCAAGAGATTCTTACAATGTTTAGAATAATGGAACAATACCCTTTAATAGTTAGCATCATAAATGAACTGATTTTTCAATTGACATACCTCCTCTTGCACAACGTTTCAAAGAAAACATCAATTTCCCTTTTAAGTAACAAGTAAGTCCTTTCAGCTTTTCATCCATTTCTTAGACTTCACTTTAAAATCAGCAACTATCCCAGAAAGGCAACATACTTTTCAAATTCATGTGATATTAGCCACTGATGCCTAATCCTATTTCTAGGACCTGACTAGAGACCTCATTCAAACTTGAAAAATACTGCTGAAATTGTCTTATCTAGAAATAGACAAGCAAAAATACTTTTAATACCACTGAGCTTGATATCTTCTTACTCTGTTCAATAGATAACAGTCACCATTCTCCTAAATAGTTTAATACAGATAACATAGTCAAATCAAAGCAATTATGCTCAATCTGTACTTTACTTGAAGCTTATGGCTCTTATTTCAGACCTCCAGGAAGACTGCATATTTTTTCCAGTAACGTAAGTTAAGCCTCACTACAAACCAAAACTACATCTGCAAATCACAAAGATATTTTTATGAATAAAGTTCCCCAATAAGAGTCCTTCTGACCATGCCTAATACACCCCTAAGGGGTTGCCTTTCATCCAGCAGCACAGAATTTACACGTACTACGTAGCAGAACATAGTTCAACTTCCTCCTCTGCCTAACAGGAATCAAATCCACGTTTCCCACACCTTGGCAGATCGGTTAATGGCAACAATGAGTTTCCAAACCACAGTATGAATGCAACCCATGATACAGAAGTTCCTTTACTAAGGTACACAAAGAAGTCCCGTTGTTGCACTCTCAAGGTAATACAACACACTGACTTCTGTATTGGTGAGTCTGGGAACCTTGCTGCAGGCAGCTCTTTTCATCTCCCTGTTGAAGCTTCTTCCCTTTGCATGAAATATTTAAAGATTCAGTAGGTCTCGTAGAAAATTCTAAAGAGGGCATGGCTTCATATTCTAACGGGTAGAACAGAGAAGAACAGAAAGACCCGAACAGTATTACTTCCAATTAATTTAATGTTTATAATCTCATCATTCCAAAGGAAGTGGGAGATGTAGAATTTGAACATACTCAGTCAGAAAAGGGAATTTAATTGATACCTTACCACCAGGCCTGTATTCTAACCTACATTTTAGATCAAAAGGAGGCAACCATTGCTATCAACACGAATTTGAAGAGAAGGACTAAATTGTGACATGCCTCTTAAAGAAAGGATTTCCACACTCATTTCTGAACGGTGGCGCTTGCAGTATCAAGCTAAGGTGTTTAAGATTCCAATAGGCACATGTGTGTTTGTTTTTAATTGTCTGACTTAGGCTATTCATACTGAGAATATCATCTTTGTAACTACCTTAATCAGATATATAACTCTTTCCATACTTTTTTCAGGAAATCTAAATGCTTAAATTAGGGCGGTGGCTCCGGCAATAGAGGCAAAGCACTTAGGCATTGAACAGTTCCGTAGTTAAGTTCTCCTTAATCTCCTCCTGGATTTAAATTCTAAGAACTAGGTTAACCAGGGAAATTACTTTAATTTTTAGAATTAATTTAATTAATTATTTTTTTGAAAAAATTCATTATCCTCAAGAGATGCCTTTTAACAGGCAGGAAAAAGGAAGACAAGATCTTACTCTATCCCAGCAACAAGGAAAAAAACATATCATACTATTATATGACACCGAGCTGCAAAAATGTGTCACAATGAGGTGGGAAGCATTCTTATATTCGCAAAACTCAAAGACTTTTTAAAAAAAAAAAAAAAACACCCTCCTCTTAGCGTGGGAGAACACTGAAGCCTCTCAAGTTAATGAGAAAGAGAATATAGGGTGAGGGAAAGGAAGGGGAGGTCCCACCAGAATCCCAGGACAGTGTTGCTTAGAAAGAGCTTCAGTTCATGAGATCCTGTTTCAAATTCCTGCTCACCATCTTCACAAATCCCAAATGAGGCTCCAGTCACTAGGCTAGAGCTAGAGATCCATCCAAGCTGTTCTTGATATCCACCCAAGATATTCTTTAAAGAGGGACTGAGGAATATTTGATTTGTATGAGTTCCTGAATATGCATTGGCTTAGGGACTTGAACCCACGTCTCAAAACCTCAATGCCATAAACCATCCCCGCTCTCTAGTGATGTAACTACTGTATATTAAGCAAGAGAGCTTTATCAGAAAGATAAGAAATAGAATCACTATAGAAAAGTAGTGTGGTAGCTGGTAGCTGGGAAGCTGGAATCCAAGATGAAAGTCTTGGTCTAAACTAGCCCAGATAACCTCGTGCATCTCTCACACTCCTAGTGAGCATCCCTGACCAACTCTATTTCCTGCTC